TTAAACCAAGCTCAAGGCCCATCTAAGTGCAGAGCCCTGGTGACTACATAGATTGCATGCACATGAAGCTGACCCCGATCAAGGATCCTTTTGCTGGCACCAAATTGTCCCTTAGAAAGACAAATAATTCTGACTTGACCTTGTTAAGAGACTTCCTTTTTATCAGCTCAGGAACCCTGACTGGCTGGAGCTGGTGACTAGGGAGAAAAAAGGAGAGATGTAGAGCTTCCGGGAAGCCCCATTTCAGCAAGTCTTACATCTCTTGCCTCGGCCAGGCTATGACATACGACAACCTGATGATGACAATGGGAGAACTTGCCTTGGATCAGTCTCTTTTTGAGCCTTCTATATGGAATTGGGAAAGGGTTGGTGAGGGGGAGGGGTGAGGTGACAGTTAAGCTTTTACTAGTCTGCCCAGTGATAACCAGGGCGTCCTTCTTCTGCCATCCGGTGGGCCTTGACTTAATTACTAAAAAGAACCCTACACCAGGAGTCCTTGAAAACCAGGCCTAGGTGGGGATGAAGGTGTTGTGTACATGTGTGTGTTTTACAGTTGGACACAAATGGCTTGAGTCTAACTTCTCCATTCAATATCTTAAATACTTCAGGTCTCTTGCCTGAGGGGTACTGTAGGCTTCAAGTATCCCAGAATCCCCTGACATCCTTGAGGCCAGAAATTCATTCCACCGGGAATCCAGAAGGCCAAGCTGAGTCACCATTGTGAAGCAGGTTCTTGACTTCAGACCTCAACCTTCTTCCAGCCCTACCCCATACTCCTCCCCCAAAGCTCTCTCCAGGGATCTAATTCAGGAAGTGCAAGTGAGACAAAAATCTTGGATTACATTCCTGGAGGGGGTAGAGATTGAACTGGAAGACAAAATGAGATGTTATACCTGGAGTCTAGCCAGGACCCCTGCTGGCAGAGACATGGCAGCCATAGGGCCTCCCAAAGGGCACCTCAGGGTCTGGGCTCCCAGCAAGAGGGCAGGGCTCACTGTAGACCATTCATCCAAAGAAATCCCTGACACATTTTCAGTGGATTTGGAGCTTTCTTAATGAGGGGAGCTCAAGAGAACTATCTCTTCACCTCCCCTTCCCATTCTCACTCTGGATCAGGCTTCTTGTCCTGGCATTGAGCATGGCAATTTATTTGATTAATACACTTGAGGGGAAAATGCATCATTTCTGCAGGTCAATGGAAGAATCACCTGCAGGCTAGGTATTCTCACCTCATCTCCATCTTCGCCAGCGAAATTGAGTTAGGCTGGTAAGGAAGGGAGCGGGAAGATTGGGCACTGAGGTGGCTGGGCTGGGAGGAGGTCTGTTCTTTACCTGGTGAAGTTACAACTGCCCCAACTCCCTTACTCAGGGCTCAGAGTTCTCCATTGTGCCTAGCCCTTTCTCCCTTTTCTCTCTGGAGTTGAAGACCAACTGACACAGGCCTATTGGTGGATGGAGGGCTTTGGACTCCTGAAAATTGTGAGTCCTTCTCTGAAACACTCCTCCCCTCACATTGCTCTATCTGGGGGAAAGTTCTGGATGATGGTGCCATGTGAGTAACCCAGAGGAATGCCACTGGTGGGGCAACTGGGGTGTGTCCTAGGGCAGCACCAATAACTCCCAGAAGTCATGGTCCTACAGCACTGTAAGCTAACTGGGAGGGCACAAAAGGCAAGGCTGTTGGCCTCAGTGGTGCTAATGGGAGGTCGTTATAAGACCAGGATATCTAGATGAGGAAATAAAACTTTCAGTTAATTCTATGGACATCATACTGCAGGAAAAGATAAATCATTTCCTGGCAGTAAGAAGTGGAAAGGGGAAAAATGGCAGCGATCCAGTCTGGTTCTAGGGAAAAAAAAAAAAAGATTTGTCTTAGATTTTCCTTTAAAATGGCCACTAGAATACTCATGTCCATTAACTCATCATTACCCTTCCTATCTAGTGGGTCAGGAGGCACTCAGGTGATCCACATCCACGTCACCAGAAACCCATTTTACCTACTCAACATCATCTTCCTGCATCCTTACAGCCCCAAACATTTGATAGGGATCATTTAAGAGCAGCCAAGATGGCTGGCCAGAGATAGTAAGTGGTAGTGGTTAAGAGCACAGGCTTAGGAGCTCTCACTATCTGTGTGCCCTTGGGCAAGTTACTTAACCTCTCTAAACCTTGGTTTCCTCATTTGAAAAAAGGAATAACAATGGTACTCACCACAAAGCGTTGCTTTGAGGATTGACATAATGTATGCAAAGCTTTTAGTACACCAAGAGCAAGTGTGTCTTGGTCCAATCCATGCTGGGCTCATCACCATCAGCACAGTATCATCATCATCATCACCATCATCATCACCACAGCTATCATTTATTCAGTAGGGTGCCAGGCACCCCACTTTAGCAAGCTGTTAATTATCCCTAAATTCCTACAAAATGGGCCATGTGTCCCTTAAAACCCAACTTTTCACAATCTGAAACCCTGGGCTCAGTGACCGACCCCCTGTGAAAGTAGACCCAGAGGAAGGATGATGAGAATATAGTGATTTAAGCAGAAAGATGGAGGAATTTGTCAGAGCTCCATTCCTCACATGGGTCAGGACAGGCTCTAAGTTCATGGCAGAGTGGTACAGAGGAAGAAACACGGGGCTGTTTGTCCAGAGCCCATTACTTGTGTGAGGTTGGACCAGTCATTTAATGTCCCCAAACCTTGATTCTCTTCACCTGCAAACTAAGGATAAGGTAATAATATCTGCCCTGCCAACCTCACAGCATTGACCTGAGGATTAGAAGAGATATGGTATGTAAACTTGATGTGTGGAAGGTATTATTATTACACATCCCAAGAAAGCCTCTGATCCATAATTTGGACCTCTGCTCTGCTCTTTCCTTGTTTCATTCAACCACTATGTATTATGCAGAAGCCCTATCCCCACACCATACCCCACTCCATTTGTAAATCAGTGCGTGAACAGACAGGCATTCTGCTGTATATAATTAGACTTTTGCTAGTTTGCCTTGTATGTGTCAGTCCTTTATGGTCTGATTAGTTGGGAATTTTCAGAAGCCATTATTTGACCTAAAAGCAGAGGGCCAGCTCTGGGATCTGGTGACTCCACACGGTATTCTAGGAGGCCCTGCTTGGTCTTGGCCATCTCTGCTACCTGCAGAAATGCCTTCAGTGAAGAGCCATTTATTATGCCCTCAGCTCTAACTGAAGACTAGTATTAAAAATGCCATTTTAAAGAAAGATAGCGTGGCTTTAAGAGCTTGGGGCTTGCGAATCAGAAGCATCCTACTCAAATCTTTGCTCTCCCACTTAAAAGCCATGAGACCTTCTGAATGTTAAGCCTTATGCTCTTTGGTCCCCAGTTTTTTTCTTTTCTAAAGTGCACAATTGTCACTGGAATGACATTAGATAAAATAAATATCTAGAAGAGTGCTGGCACCTATATAGTAGGCTACCAAAAACCAGCTACCAAAAACTATTACCATCATTAATATTCATTAAAAAAATGTCAGTGCCTTCAGTCATTGTCCACTATGGTACAAAGTCTATAATGACCACATGACCACTGTTCTTAGAAAATTAGAGCCAGGGAAAGAAGTATGTCCTAAAGAACTATCTATTTGCTAGATGAGTAAACTTATCCTTACTCATTTAGGAGAAAATATCAAAACCTCTACCAATGAAATCCCAGAGCTTCCTAGGGAGTCTGAACCCAAGCTGGACTTTGCTAAAGAATGACATGAAGGGCCGGCCCCGTGGCTTAGCGGTTAAGTGTGCGCACTCCGCTGCTGGAGGCCCGGGTTCGGATCCCGGGCGCGCACTGATGCACCACTTCTCCGGCCATGCTGCGGCCGCGTCCCACATACAGCAACTAGATGGATGTGCAGCTATGACATACAACTATCTACTGGGGCTTTGGGGGAAAAATAAATAAATTAATTAAATAAAATTTAAAAAAATAAAAAAAAAAGAATGACATGAAGAAGCAGCATCTCAGGTCAGACCAAGATTCAGCCGAGGAGAAGCTCTCCTTGTCCCCAGCTCACTACAACCAAAGCCGGTGCTGAGTAGCCAGTCAAGAGTGGCAGCATGTACAGGGATGTGTTAAGAGCTTAAGGTACAGAGCAACCAACAGAACCAGTCCTAATCTTTGAGGAGTGCCCAGTCTGGGTTAGCAGGAGAATGAAGCCTCTGATTTCAAGGAGATCCTAGTCTGATGGTGAAGACATAGTCCATGTCCCCAGGGTGTTTCTGTTCTGATTGGGGAGACAAAAAAGATCAAAACAGAATGCTGTGTTTGGCCTTTTCTGCTAAGAGGTTCAGAGCCAAATTCAATGGTCAGTGCGGGAAGCACTTTGTCACACCCTCTCAATATGACTATCTCCTCCCTTTCTCTGTGTGGCTTCTGATCATTATAACTTCATTTTAAGAGTCACACTGAATCAAAGGTTTCACTGTAATCTCCTACACCGCCCCTTTTAATAGTAGGAGCATAAATAGCAAAAAATAAGTAACTATATCTTTACTTAAAATTCCAGTATTGGAAAATAATCAACCAAAGATAGTGGGGGTGGGTTTGAACTCTGTAAAGATTGGGGAGTTTTGTTCCAATAACAGGCCCACAGGTCAGGTCTGGCTGGCACAGACTCCTCTGCCCAGGCCTGAGACTAGACTTAGGTCAGTCCTCTCTGAGACTCTACACCTGAGATCCTTACTCAAAAGACAAATTCCCAGGGCCCCATCCCAAACCTCTTGTGTCAGAGTTTCCAGGGGTGTGGCCTAGGAAACTATAGGCTTAACAAGGGTCCCCACATGATTCATAACATCAGGGATGTTTGGGAAACACCAGGCCCAGTTTTTCTCTAGGGTGGTGAGAGGACAATCAGAATCACCGAGAGGAGCTTCTTAAAATGCAGATACCTGGGACCCCCACTAGGACCTACTGAATCAGAATTTCTGGGAGCAGGCCCTGGAATATACATTTTTATGAGCATCCAAAGTGATGCCTATGGGCTGATGTTTACTCACTGGCCCTTCTGCAGTGTGAGCTACTGATCACGAGGGGGCCAGGTCAGTCCCTCTGGTCACAGTCTGCTTTAGGTGGCAGGAGTGAGGGAGATAATTAAAATGTATAGCCTTCTTCTTTAGGCAGCCAAACACCATAAATCCCTCTACTATAGGCAATGCTACGTTGTAGAGTTCCCCTAAGTTTTACGTACCACCTTCCTTCAGAAGCACTCAAGTTCTGACAGAGGGCTCCTTGCTATCTCTTTGGTCCTTTCACATAGTGGAATCAAAGCTTAAAGGTCTTTGTTTCCAAATCTTCTCAGGCTCCACTGTCCTGTTGTTCTGTCCCCTCAGTACACTCCATTACAGGGCCAGCTTTCGGGACAAGTGACCTGGACCTAGGCCAGGCTGACACAGCATGAAAAGTGCGGAAATCAATCCCTCAAGGTTGACATGGTTCTACTTCTGGGATCACCATTTCTGACTGTCCTAATTTTAGCCATAAGTGGAAGACGAGGGAAAGTGCACTTAAAGCAGTGGGGACAGATCAGTCATAGCAGAAATATACATTGCAAGGGGGTCACATTTTGACTAAGGTTAGTCTTAATTGTCTACTTACCTTTATGTTTTCATCAATCCATCCATCCACCTACCCTCCCGACGTTCCAGAAATATATACACATAGTGCCTGCCAATGCACCCAACACGTTAAGGGAATGTGGGTGGGCTTACCTAGGTCTTCTCACATCCTTTTTGGCCGGAGATCAGGCAGTGACTGTATGCTTGCTTATCCTGTATACACGGGTCCCTCATAGCACCTGGATGGCTTCTGCCAGGCCTTGGATCCAGGCGGGCTGGAGTGGCCACCACCAGCAGATCATGCAGAGAAACATCCTGGCTGTGAGAACTCTGCAAGAGGAGGAGGGAGGGCACATCCGACTGCCTCTTCTTGTCAGAGGTTTGGCCGTGGAAGTAGGCTTCCTGGGTCAGGGAGGGGTTTTCTGGAAAGGCAAAGTCATTGACATCATCAATTTTTGCTGCTGGACTCAGACAAATTCCTGGCAAAGGCCACCTCCCACTGGGGTTCCCTGGCCTAAAACTGGTTGAAGCTCTCGAATCAGAATCAGCCATTGCTCCTTTCTTCCAAATAGTCTCTCTCCCTGTTTTTTTCATACTGAATGCTCCCATCTGGTACAGACTCAGCTGATTGGGCCTCATCTGAATGAGAACCAGGAAATGTTGAAGAGGGTACTTAGACACAGCATTCTATTGTTATCTTTCTTGTCTTCTCAATAAGACTAGAGACTCCCTAAGGACATGGACTATGTCTCCACCATCGGACTGCAGCACCGCCCTCAGATTGGGTGCTCACCTAAGATTAGGATTGGTTCTATTGGTTACTCCATCCCTAAGCTTTTGGTATATCCCTGTACACACTGGCACTCACTTGACTGGTTACTCAGCACCAGCTTTGGGTTGTAGCGAGCTGGGAACAAGGAGAGCTTCTCCCTCAGTTGAATCTTGGTGAATAGCTCTGACATCAGATGCTGCTTCTTCGTGTCATTCTTTAGCAAAGTCCACCTTGGGTTCAGACTCTCCAACAAACTCTGAGATTTTGTAGGCAGAGAAATGTTTGATATTTTCTCCTGGATGAGGTGCTGGGGGATCTGATGTTGCTTGCATTTAAAAGAGACCACCCTGTCCATCTCTGGGCTACTGCATTCAGAGCTTGTAGTCATGGTCACGCTTGGCAGAGACTCAGGAGAGTCTGAGACCTGGGTAGTGGATTCAGGGGAGGTTTCTACTGAGGTGAGAGGCTGGAAGAGAAAACAGTCCAAAATGAGATTGTGGAAAGCAAAGGCCTCCTTCCTATGCCATTCTTGATTAAAACAGACAGATTGAGAGCTGAGTTCATCAGCAGCAAGAAAGATTTAGGTTAGAATAGTTCCCTAATCATGAGTTGGTTAAACACTAGGGCAGAAGATGGTGGGAATGTCCACAGAGCTTCCTCTGGAGGTCCTTAAACATGAGAGAGATTTTAAACAGTATCTGGTAATCAGAGAAATAGGTATTATTTCACAGCTCTAGACTGGCAAAAATTAGAAAGCTGTCAGTGTTGGTGGGATGTGGGATACAGGTGCTGATGGAAATGTAGACTGGTACAGGAGCCAGCCGGGTGGTGTAGTGGTTAAGTTCGTGCACTGCGCTTCGGTCGCCTGGGGTTCACAGGTTTGGATCCTGGGCGCAGACCTAGGCACCGCTTATCAAGCCATGCTGTGGCAGGCATCCCACATAAAATAGAGGAAGACGGGCACAGCTGTTAGCTCAGAGCCAATCTTCCTTAGCAAAAAGAGGAGGATTGGCAACAGGTGTCAGCTCAGGGCTAATCTTCCTCACACACACACAAAAAGAATGTAGATATAGACTGGTACAGCCATTCTGGGGAACCATCTAGAAATATTTGGCAAAATAGGATTACAAATACCCTGTGACACAGCAATTCTGCTTCTAGGTACACACACTAAATAAGTTACTACATAGCTCCTTAAAAAAAGTATATACATTAATCTTCCCAGCAACATGATGCACAATAGCTGAAAGGTGAATACAACCAAAATGTCCACCAACAGATGAATGGATAAACAAAATGTGATACATACATACAATGGAATATTATTTGGCCTTAAAAAGGAAGGACACTCTGATATATGCTACAACATGAATGAACTTTGAAAACATTATGTTAAGTGAAATAAACCAGACACAAAAGTACAATATTGTATAATTCTACTTATATAAGTTACCTAGAGTAGTCATAGAAATAGAAAATAAAAGAGAGAGGAACAAAATAAGGCAGAAAAAATATCTGAAGAAATAATGGCCATAAAATTTCCAAATCTGGTGAAAGACATTAATTTACAAAGCCAATAAGCTCAAGAATCCTAAATAGAATAAATACAAATAAAACTACATCCAGAAATATCATATTGCATTTCAAATTGCTGAAACCCAGAGATTAAAGAGAGCAGCCAGAGAAAAATGACACAGCAAATACAGCAGAAAATGTTATGAATACAGTTGACTTCTCATTTAAAAAGAAAAAGAAGAAAACCAGAAGATAATGGAACAACATTTTTTTAAATGCTGCAAGAAAAAAGATGTCAATCCAGAATTCTAGGTCCAACAAATATATCCTTCAAAATAAAGACTAAATAAAGACATTTTCAGATAAACAAAAACAGAAAATTCATTGCCAGCAGATAGACATGGACTACAATAAGTACTAGTAATAGGGGCCAGCCCAGCGGTATAGCAATTAAGTGTGTGTGCTCCACTTTGGCAGCCCAAGGGCTTGCAGGTTCGGATCCCAGGCGTGCACCGAGGTACCGCTTGTCAAGCCATGCTGTGGCGGTGTCCCATATAAAGTAGAGGAAGATGGGCATGGATTAGCCCAGGGCCAATCTTCCTTGGCAAAAAGAGGAGGATTGGTGTCAAATGTTAGCTCAGGGCTGATCTTCCTCACCAAAAAAATAATTAAATAAATATTAATAATGTATGTTAGTACGAAGAGGGAATAAGTTTCCTATATTTAAAATTAAGTACAACATTACCTCTAAGTAGATTCTGACAAGCTGAAGATGCATATTGCAATCCCTAGAGCAAATACTTTATAAAAGGCAAAAAGTTATAACCAAAAGACAGCAGAGGAATTAAAATGAACAAATATTCAATTTTCAGTTAACCCAAAAGAAGGCAGACAAGGAGGAACACAGGAAAAAAAGCAAAAACAGAAGAGATGAGTAGAAAAGCAAATAACAAAATTTCAGCCCTAAATTCAATTGTATTAATAATTATATTAAATGAAAATGGAGTAAACACTCCAATTAAAAGGCAGAGGCTGTCACACTGGATAAGAAAGGAAGACCCATTCATGTCTGTCTATAAGACATGTTCTTTAAATATAATGAGAAAAATGAATTGAAAGTAAAAGGATTTAAAAAATATATATACCATGCAAACACTAATCACAACCAGCAGGAATGGTTACATTAATATCAGAGAAAATAGATTCTAAGACAAGGAGTATTATCTAGGATAAAGAAGATTTTATCTCATCATGATAAAAGGTCACTAGATCAAAAAGACAAAAAGCTGTGGTGGCGCAGCTGTTAAGTGCGTGCGCTCTG